CTGTTCGAAAGGCTCGATGGAATGCGATAGATAACATTGAAGGCACTATTTTTGTCCACTTAGTGACCACTTTCAATCAAATGAGCCGAAATAGAACTTCTTATAGATTTTATTTAACCTTTCCTGGACTATGAAGGAAGATGCTCATTAATGCGTTTGTTCACCTATCTCGTTATTCGCCCTATATAGCTATCTCCACAGGAGCAGCCAAATTTACAGATAAACATGGAAGCTGCACAGATAGGTAGCTTGTCTTTCGCTTGGGCAATCAAAATTGGTCGGCTGGGAAATGACAAACAAAGGTGGCGGCCGTATAAGTCCGTTTCATCGCTCTCGATAATCTCAGATGTAAGACTTCGCTAGCCACGTCCCCATTAAATTTAATTAATGTAATACACTTAAAAAGTGAAAGACAACAGATGAAAAAATTGTTTTATCAGAGCTCCATATTAATATTCCTCAGCAGATCAGCCCTTAAAATGTGTTTTTCAACTCAGGGAAGGAGTCAATATCCTACTCTCTGAAGGTTGTTTATTTGATTCGATATCTTCAGGTCACCTAGCGCTTTGTTTTTTGTACATATATTTCATTTCTTTGTGTTCTTATACTATTTTCATTTAGTTTTTTCCATGATTATGAGTCGAAATAAAGTCTGTTAATCACGCATTCAAACAATGGTCTTTGGTATGTTTTGAGCAATACGCTGAAAAAGAAGTAGGCGAATAAATCAAAATGTGTTACGTAAAATTAATTTAAATCTCCAGAGAATTCAAATGCAAATAATAAATGACAGACCTAATCATTCTCAGTTTATAAATAATCAGACATTAACAACAATAAATTTTAGGCAATTAAAATCTTCTCTACATGAACCTTCAATTCAAAGGAGATTCATCTACGGAAGCACTGAAAAATTGACTGTCCCACTCACTTAAGAAAACCTTCCTCTCGGCTAAACTACGATTAACCTTCTCCGCAAATCTATGTTTCATGTGAAAGTGAAGGGTAAGCTACCACTGCTGACCTCATCAATGTGTATCTACCAATTCACCTGTTCGTGTGGAGCCAGGTATATCGGACGTACCAAAAGTTCGCTTTCCAAACGTATCACCGAACACTTACCAGCATAGTATTACAAAGGGGAAAAACGATGCCCCCGCAGTTCCATCTTAGAAAATCTGATAGATTCCGGACACCAAGCTACACCCCAAACAAACTTCAAAGTCATCTACAAAATACGAAGTAGTCTTCCTAAAGGTGTACGAATCAAACTTCTTCAAACTGCAGAAGCAATGGCAGTTCACTTGCTAAGTCCTGAACTCTGCATACAGAAGTTCGTTCAATCACTACACTTGCAATGGGCATAATCTACCTTAATATCCGACAGGTAAATTCCACCTCTTCCTGTCTCTTTGTCAGTATTATTTTGTTTTCTCAATTGTAATATTTTACATCTTCAACTCTCTTGTTCTCAACCCCCACCCGATTTAATTTTTACACCTCCCTACCATTGTTGCTGACTTGACCAACGCTCAATTTCTAGTCATTTATGTTACGTCATCCAACTTAATTGCTCAATTTCAGTTCCAATTTAAATGGCATTATCTTCTACTCCATCTCTACTTAGTCTCTACCTGTAATTACCTCTGTTGCTACCCTGGCCTAAGTTGAAACATTTTCGTCGATTATATTACGTCATCTAACTTACTAACTCAATCTTACTTTAGTTGCTGTCTAGTTAACCTTGTTTCTATATTAGCTCTTTCTTGTATTACCTAATTAATTATCTAAACTTGACAAACCTCATGTACACACTCAAAAAAATAATTGTATGTAAATGCAGTTTTGTAGCTATGTGAGTGGATCCGCCGCTGCGTTTCTTCTTTGAATGTTTTCTCTTTTTCATTAGAATTGATAGGGATTTTTAAGCTAATAAAGCAGTTGTATAAATAATAAGCACCCAAAACTCGAGCTGTGATAGAATCTCCAGTGGTGTATCAGTGATAACTACTAATCTATAACCATGTTGTGTTGTCATGTAAACTATCTTAAAAACAACTAAAACATTCTGAATGTAAAAGCTTAGTTCCTACGATGAATTTAGCAAGAAATTGTCACAGCACAAATTTTGCTGTCCAACTTTAAATAAACCCACAGTTAGTCAGGGTGGTCTTGGCTGAGCGGAAATTGAAGGGAAGGGAAGTCAGTGTGAAACACATCGAAAATGTCACATAAAATGAACAGTAAAAGTGAATGAATTACTATAAGACAACATTCCTGCGTCTCATTTCTTGAAATGAATGTCTAAATCGTGGAGCCGTTGTGATGGCTGACGTAATACAAAGTCACTTAAGCAGTCTGCTATATTATTATTTATTATTGCTCCCTTAGGTTCCTAGTGGAACATAGGGCAGTGAGCTTCAACTGCACGTCTCCATTTGCTTCTGTCTTCTGCTATACTTTTCGCCTGCATCCATGTTAATCCATATTCTTTCAACTCCTCTTCACACGATCTCCTCCATGTCACCCTTGGACGTCCCACACGCCGCTTCCCTTTCGGGTTCCACTCGAGGGCTTGTTGCGCGATGTCACCCAGCGGTCTCCTCAGCGAGTGTCCGATCCATCTCCACTTTCTCCTGCATATTTGTTGGGCGATTGGTTCTTGCTTTGTTTGTTCCCATAATTCCTTGTTGGTGATTCTTTCCGGCCATCTGATCTTCAGTATTGAGCGAAGACAGTTGTTAATAAAGGTCTGCAACCTTTTGGAAATATTCTTTGTGACCCGCCCGCCAAGTTTCTGATCCGTATAGAAGAACTGACTTTACGTTTGTATTGAAAATCCGAATTTTGTTGGTGATGCTGAGTGACGAAGATTTCCAGATTGATTTCAGGTTGATGAATGTGTTTCTCGCCTTCCCGATTCTCGCTCGATTTGACATCCTCGTCCGCTCCTCCTGTAGTTGAGACAATGCTCCCTAGATAAGTGAATGAAGTAACCTCTTTCAAATCCCTCCCGTTGATGGTGATTGACGTTGGATGTTGTTGCTGTTGTTGGTTGGTTATTTTCATAACCTCCGTCTTGTCTATGTTCACCTGGAGTCCTGTCTTCGCCGGCTGCTTCTTCGACCAGTTTGTCGGTTTTCGCTTGTAAGTCTTCGATTGTGTGTGACATCAAACATAAATCATCCACGGCGAAATCCAGGTCTTCTAGGTTCTTCACGTCGGTCCAGGATATTCCTGTCTTCTCGTTTCCCACTGTCTGACGCATAATCCAGTCCACCACAATTAGGAATATCATTGGTGATAGTAAGCACCCTTGTCTGACTCCTGTGTTTACTCCAAACGCCTCGCTGAGTTTTCCGTTGTGGATCACTTGACATGTGCCGTTGTCGTACAGCTGTTGAATAAGGTTGATGAATATTTGGGGTACGCCATAGTACTCGAGTAATTTCCAAATTACTTCACGGTCAACGCTGTCGAAGGCCTTCTCAAAGTCTATAAAGTTGAGGTAGAGGTTTGATTGCCATTCCATGCTTTGTTCTGTGATGATGATGCGTAGAGTTGCAATTTGGTCAGTACATGATTTGCCTTTCCTGAATCCAGCTTGTTCTGGTCGGAGTTCTGTCTCCAGTGCGTCCTTTAATCTCTCCAGGATGATGCGACTCAGGATTTTACTTGGCGTCGATAGGAGCATGATTCCTCGCCAGTTCTTGCAGAGTCCTAAGTCGCCCTTCTTTGGTAGTTTCACGAGGTAACCTTTCCTCCAGTCAGTAGGCACCTTTCCCTCCTTCCAGACCTTTTGCAATAATGGAGTCAGCATGTCTGCTGTCGTCTCTGGGTCCGCTTTCAGTGCTTCAGGGGGTATTCCATCTGGTCCGGCTGCTTTTCCAGCTTTCAGAAGTTTGATTGCGTTCAAGACTTCAGCTCTCGTTGGAGGATTGGTGTCAACTTGCAGTTGTGTGCGCGCTGTTGTTGGTATTTCTGGACGGGTTGCAGGTGATGGTCGGTTCAAGAGTCCTTTGAAGTGATCCGCCCATTGTTTAATCTGTTTTTCTTCCTTGGTAATGGGCTTCCCTTGGCTGTCTTTTATAGGTTTCGCTTGTGTTGGTCTCTTCCCGGATAGAGATTTGGTTATCTGATATAGTGTCCTCAGGTCCCTTTTGCCTGCTGCCTTTTCAGCTTCAGTAGCTAGATTGTCGTAGAATCGTCTTTTGTCCTTCCTAGCACTTTTCTTCACTTCTTTGTCCAATGCTTTGTAAGTTGAGCTCATCGTCTCCTTCTCCTGTCCGTCCTTGCATTGAATCATTTTCTCTTTCACCATTCTCCTCTCTTCTATTAATTTCCAAGTGTCCGTTGAGAGCCATTCCTTGTCTTGTCTCTTCTTTCTTCCTAGAACCGTTGAACACGTTTCGTTGAGAATCGCCTTCAGAGACTTCCAATGTTCTTCCACGCATGATTCTTCAGTGATGTCGCGTAGTGTTTCCTGCTTTGCTCTGACAGTTGCAGTGAAAGTGTCTTTTGTGGTTGTGTCCTTCAGTAATTGAGTGTTGAACTTGCATTGTGGCCTATCCCCAGCTATCCTCGAGGCTTTTAGTTTCACCTTGAAAGTCCCTTGTACTAGATAGTGGTCTGAACCCACATCTGCTCCTCTCCTTGACCTTGTGTCCAGTAGGCTCCGTCTCCACTTTCTTGAAATTGAGATGAAGTCTATTTGGTTCTTGGTGTTTCCATCTGGTGAAATCCATGTCGTCTTGTGTATATCCTTGTGTTTGAACACACTACCACCAATCACCAAATCATTGAAGGCGCAGAAGTCTGAGAAGAGTTCACCATTGTCGTTCATTTCACCGAGGGCCTCACGACCCATGGTGAGTTCTCTTCCTGTGTTGTCTCGTCCCAGCTTCGCATTCATGTCGCCCATCAGGATTTTGATATCGCCATTTGGGACGTTGTCCATTATTGCTTGTAGTTGTCTGTAGAACGCCTCCTTCTTCTCTTGTTCTGAGACGTTTGTAGGCGCATAGCATTGAATGACTGTAACTTTCCTTCCTTTTGAGTTGAACCTGGCTGTCATTATCCTGGAGGAGATTGGTTCCCACTGCATGAGAGCTTTGGTTGCTGTTGGTGACATCATGATGGCCACTCCCTCGGTGTGCTCATGGTTGTCCTCTAGGTGGCCGGAAAAGATTACTGTCTCTCCAGTAGGTAGTTGGCACCTTCCAGTTCCGTTCCATCTGCTTTCGCAGATTCCCAACACTTCTATTCTGTACCTTCTCATTTCAGCGGCTATCTGGGCAGCCTTTCCAGTTTCGTACATTGTACGAACATTCCAGGTACCCATCCTTACTTTTGCTTTCATCGAAAGAAGGCACATCGGCTGACTGGCTTCCCGAAGGCTTTCACCAGCCTGCGTCATTTCACTTCCCCGATTCCAGCGAAAAGTAAGGCTATTGCTTATGTTTTTAGAATTTTTAATATATTTATTCGTTGAAGTTTCTGTAGCGATTTGGTTGTTTTACAGGGGTGGAGTTGCTAGCACCACGCCCCAACCCTCCCTCTTTACCCGGGCTTGGGACCGGCGAGAAAACTAGTAAGCCAGTGGCTTAGCAAGCTAGTATCTGGCGAGGTTAGTCTGCTATAAATCAGAATAAATTCCTCTGAAGGAATATCGCTGGGATAGAAAGAACTATTTTGCAAAGGATGCATGCTGTTAATGAAGTTTCTTAAAATTCAATTAAGTTATTTTAAAATATTAGGCTTTAGCAAAAGACCAGACTGAAAAATTGACTTCATACGTTAGTACTCGAATCAAACATTTCGAATAACCATCATTTATATGCCTGGAACTTTCCTAGCCTTACTTTCAATTTGGCATATAAAGGTTTATTCTAATTCAGCCACAAAATCTGTGATAGTGTAGACACAATGGTGCAATTTAAAAATATTCTTATACTTACTCCCTCAGCTGTGAGTGAGGGAGATTTCAAAGTAGCATGACGATCATTTTGAAATGATACAGACATTAACGCAAGGATATGAATACGTCATTTGAAAAAAATGAAAATTTTCAACACTTTTTCTGAGAATACGTCAAACACTGTGACAACGGTTATTTGTGAGAATACAAATTACCTAGTTACTGATTAATCCAAGTTTTAGAAATTAGGTAATCACAAAGATTTGAATGGAATTACTAAACGTTATTTCGTCTAAGTTTTGAAGTTGCTTACCATGTGAAAACCCATTGAGGTATCCACACTTGAAACAATCAAATCCTGAACATCCAGTGTCTAAGCCTGTCCTACTTTGAACATACCGAATTTACCATATCATCTAACAAAGAAATAGCTTCTGCAATCACTGGGATCTTTATAACATGGAGTAGCGAAATACAAGGAAAGTGATGTGTTCATACTTGTCGATGGCATTATCTTCAGACATAACATCATGTGTTATTCGCCCATGCCCCAGTTGTAAAAACAGTGAGAATTATGCATGAGTTATCTGCAGACTGATGAATGAACATTGGAACTGCACCTGAAAAATTGAAAACTGTTGTTAAACCCTACATTTAATGTACACTGCTCATTAATCAAAGACGTATGTAGACAGATAGATAGAACTGAGACAGACTCCTGTGAAGTTCCACTTTACTGACTGGTTCTTCGTTAAGAAAGATAGAAACTGTCCATCTGAGAGAAAAGCAGAATAAGCCTGAATGTTTCTGTGGTTATGTCGAGGAAACCCTTATCTTTGGTAACAAAAAAGGTGATAAGTAGGATCTACTCCATGTCTCTCTTAATATTCATCCGATTATCAAATATGTTTACAAAGAAAAAGTCTAACTATATACACTACCTCATTACAAGATGGATATCCTAGAGGCTCTGTAAAAAAACAGATGCCTGGACTGATTGATAAAAAGAAACAAGACAATGAATGAAATTTAGCTATAATCAGAAATACAATGTAGTTGTGATATCTTTAGTGATATAATTAATTGCAGTAAAATCACATATCGGGCTCTCAAACAGAAATATACTGATAATGTGCCACTGATGGTTGCATTAGTATTTGTATATGGGATTCTAAGCATGTCAGCAGAGGCTAGTAACATACTAGGCCATACTCACAAAACTTTATTCTTCCTTAGGAATAAGTATGCATGTGCCTCAAAAAGTCAATAGACGATATCATTTTGTCTCATTTAATGAATTGTCAATTCTCTAATGAATTAGAAGCTTTTAGGGTGATACATCGAGTACCCAGAAATCTGCCTGTGGACACGGATTGATGTCGTTTACCTGAAGTTATGTAAATAAGTGAGATCGAATTAACTTATGTATTCTGTCTTGCCCCACTTACTATATGTTAACACAAACTTATTACTCGTGTCTATGTCTTGTTACATGCGAATACTTGTCTTCTCTTCACGCCCCTTACTCCTTTTTGTAACATCTCAAAATCACAATATTATTATTTTTTGTTATCCTATAATCTTAAATAAACAGTACTCTGCTTGCTTGCTGTATTGGCGTTTTCTATTAATTCAGTGACTAAAACTTATAACTTAGAAACTATATTTGTGTTGATCGTAAGTTCTCAAGCTCTTTATTTATCCCTACTGGTTAAATGTTTTGCATGCATTTAAATTAAAATAAAAATTAACTAGTTAACACGTTTTCAGTCTTTACTCGATCGCATCTGATTCTATACAATTTGGTATCATTTCGCAATGTCTTCTTCGATGAGTTACTGCCTCATCTTCAACCTGCTGTACCCTACTGGTCACGGCTTCCCAGGTTAACTGCCTGAATAGGGCCAGTCACCAGTGAGCATCAGATTAATTTTCAAGCATTGGTTTTGTAGTGATTTTGTATTTGATTCCATGTAGGATTTCATGAAGCCACTGGATTGGGTCCCAGTGGCTCAACGGTCTACGAGCTTGCCTTGTAACCAGAAGCTCCTGGGTTCGAACCCCGGCGGGTGCATACTGATGAAGAGTCCCAAACTAGGGCGAAAGAGCTGTCCACTACTCCCATATGGTTTTCCAATAGTTCTCTAACTGATTTCAGCTCATGATGAAATCCTCCATGGAATCAAACAAAAAATCACTACAAAACCAATACTTGAAAATTAATCTGATGCGCACTGGTGACTGGCCCTATTCAGGCAGTTAAGCTGGGGTTCTAGTGGGAAACCGTGACCAGTAGGGTACAGCAAGTTGAATCTGGTACCACTAAAATAATGTGTCCGCTTGTGGTGAGTAAGTTATGTATCAGCATTTTCATCATCTTGTAAATCAATTAACTGTGAGATTCTCTTTCCTCATTCTGATATAATAAATAAAAAGGGGTTGCTGGATAATTGTCAAACACAGGAGCATGTGTCATGCATGCTTTTGAGGATAATTTGATACGTTATCAATATATATATATATATATATATATATATATATATATATATATATATACCTATTAGCGTTTGCTGTGATGGCATTATTTTGTTTACTACAGTTAAACACATTTTGAAACTCACAGTCTACGATTTACTTTGTTTTTTTATTAACTGAATTATCTGTGAATCATATCACCACAACTGATAACTTTTTAATGCCAGTACTGGCTAAGATTTCAGATTTACAATGATACTATGCACTGAAAAGTTTTTAACCTTGCTCCAGAGCACATCTGACACATTTGTAATACCAAACCTACCTAAAAAAACTTCCCATAGTATAATCGAATCAAGATGATTTCAAGCGAACAATTATTTTGGGAAAATTCCTCCTCAGGCACTACAGTTATCAATCCATGAATATTATAATACCAGTGGCCATTTAAAAAATGTGAAAATTACATCGGAAACTGTGTTGGGGGTACATATATAATATCAAATGTGCGTCGGTGACACAGTGGTTAGGACTCTCGCCGACCATGCACATGGTCCGGGGTTCGAGCCCACGCAGACGCACACCTGATATCTATGGTCGGCCTGAAAAATTTGGGCTAACGATATCACATGCTGAAAATTCCATACCTGTACCAAAAAATACAGTGTGGAATAAAGCTGTAATCAAAAATAAAATTTAATATTGTCAAACTAACATGCATAAATTGTGCAGCCATTCAGAACATAAGAAAAAGTATGTCACTCTTTTGTCTGTTCACACTTTATCTTATGTTCTGAATGGTTGCGCAGTTTATGGACGTTATTTTGACAATATTAAATACTGAACTATCACTCAATATTATGTATGTACCCCGACACAGATTCAACTAAAGGCGGAACGGACGAGGATATCAAAGCCAGAATCGGAAAAGCAAGACAAGCTTTCATTACTCTCAAATCTGTGTGGAGGTCAACAGCACTCAGCATCAAAAATAACATCCGGATTTTCAACTCCAATGTGAAGTCAGTCAGTGCTACTCACCATACGGATCAAAGACTTGGCCAGCGCGTCATAAAGAGCATCTCAAACAAACTTCAGACCTTCATTAACAGTTGTCTTTGCTCAATACTACTCAAGATCAGATGGCCGGCTAGAAAAGATCAGCAACAGGGATCTCTGGTAATGAGCGAACCAACTCAGCAGGAACCGATTGTGAAACAAATATGCAGGGAGAAATGAAGATGGATTGGATTGGCCATACTCTGAGGAACCAAACCATCAAGTGACATCACTAGACAAGCCATCGCTCGAGTGGAACCCGAAAGGGAGGCGGCGAGTTGGTCGTCAGTGTGAGGATGGGGTGACTTGGAGGAGGTCATGTGAAGAGGAGATGAAAGCATGTGGGCAGACTTGAAGCGGAGTGAAAAAGTTGTCAGAAATTAGAAGGCAATGGAGTCGCGCAGCTGAAGCCGTATGTTCCTCTGGGAACTAAAGGACATAATAATAATAATAATAATAATAAAAACACAGGTTCCGATGCAATTTTCACATATCTTTAATGGCTATGTGTTTTATGACAATCATGAATCTTATAAATGTAGTGCCTGAGGAAGAATTTATCGAGAATAATTGTTCATTCCAAATTATCTTGTTGTGACTACCTAAATTATTTCGTTCACACTGATATTTTGTTTGTTGACTTATTCATCACAAAATAATAAAATAATTTTTCAAGGCTAGATTGTAAATATGATATGTGTAAAAATTAACATTCATTTATATTCACGATATTTCAGAGGATGAAAATGATTTTATCAGCCTACAGCTGACATGACCACGTTGTCATGTAAATCATAGAGATTTAATCACTCATTTTCCGAAATTAAGTTTACATACAATCTTGTTTAGACGTGTAAAACAAATGGTGCGATAAACGTGTCCACAAATTCACTGTAAGTAAAAAAGAATGTATCCCACCGTTATCTGATAGAAAACTATGCGTAAACAGCAAAGAGTAAACGTAAGA